ACTTCTTCCTGTAGTCAGGTATAAAGATTATTTTGCAGCTGCTGTATGAATATCCCCACTGAGAGCTTTTGGCTAAAGAGCCTTTTTGTTTTTGTTTGGGGCCCACTAGCTTAGAATCATAAAATCATTTTTGGAAAAGAACTTTAAGGTAATCAAGTCCAACTGTTAAACTTAGTAGGAAGTAGGCTTCTACTGTGGCAGGGCAGGTATATCTTGTGTGTCTTCTCTTAGAATCATGCATAGCTGAAGCTCTATCAGCTGGCAAATATTTCTTACTGCCAGAAGTTTGTCATGTCTGGACAGTAATGCAACTGTGTGAGTTGCTGCTCAAAGTCATACAAGAACCAGGTTATATGTCTCATTTGTGAATTGGTGAGAAACTTTCAGTCTACCTTCATGCCTCTTGCTGTTGTACTGCAAGGCATCTTTCCTTTCCCTTGAGTTCTTCCTTGCCCTCTCTCAATCACCATTATTGCAGAAACAAAGTACACTAGGGAAGAGTGGAAGAAGCCAGTCAATTGTAGTATGTCAAGTCTGGGGCTAAATAGCATGTCAAGGATTTTCAGTTCATTACCTGCACTAGCTTTATTCTCCTAAGCAAAGTGGAGAGAAGGTGACAATCCTCTGGCAGTCTGAATACTCTGAACTGTCTATTTTGTCTGGATGCAGCTACTTCCTACTAGTAGTTGTAATTTTTTAAGTATTTCTGGTAGGTTTTTGGCATTTGTGTTACCTTCCTTGGTAAGGCTCCCTGTTTGGCATAACCAGTGTGTTTACTTTGAATGTTATTTTGTCAAAAAGACACGGAGATCTTACTCTTGTCATTCTTGGTTACTGTAGTTTTACAGAGTTCAACGTTGGATGGAGAACATTTTGTACTGTACCTTTCAACCATTTGAGTGGTGATTTCTTGAAAGATTTCTAGTCAACTTACAACATAGAGCATTTGGAAAAAATATACAATTACTTGTCTTTCTCCATTGCAGGGTATATGTAGCTGCAACTGCTTAAGGTTTTCTAATTCTTGATTTCTTTCAGTCAGCGGCACGAAGGGTTTGTCTGTCAATGACTTTTTTTCTGGCTTGGAGAGTTCTGGATGGCTGCGCCACATTAAAGCTGTGTTGGATGCCGCTGTCTTCCTGGTCAAGGTAACTTGCACGCTCCTGTTCTATTTGATGGGAAGTTGACTTACTACCAGGCAAAACTATACTTAATATTTTGTAATGTGTAAAAATTCTGCAGCTGACATTTTTTTGGAGGTATTAGTGTACATCAATATCTCTGATATGCTATTTTAAGTATCGCGTGTTTCTTTGTTTGGAGATGTTAAATATGGAAGCTAATGTTTTGGGATTTTTTTTAATGCTCTTTGGTTACTTTATGAGGAGATTCTTATGCTCCCTGGTTCTTTTGGGTATTTATGAAAGGTGTGATCAGTTTGGAGGTGGATGGAGAAAACTAGTGTGCCCTGGAAAACAGAACTGCTGCGGCACTAATGGCAGAGAAGCCAAACCAGCTATGCTGACTTCATTCAGCAAGGAAATGAGACTCTTTATGAAGAATTTGGAGGGACAGCTGCCTTTGCCAGGCACCTATGAGGTCAAGGGCTTGACCTGAGAGGGACTGGGTGAAGAAAAAAATGAGATCTCTGTTTTTACTGGGTGAAATAACAAGAAGATACTTTAGTTTATATTCATACATGTGTTTGTTGTTTTGGGGTTTTTTAACCTGTTTGGTCTCTAATGTGTAGTCTACTTCTTTCTTAGTATGTGTTGCAAGGGGTTTTTATAAGTTTAGTTTTATAAGGGGCAGAAAGAGAACTGGGGACCACTGTGGATCTTCTTGTTACCTTGTGCAAGAAATTTCTTTTCTTTATAAGGAATTTTCTGTATTTTTATGGAAAGAAATTCCTAGCTTTGATAGTATCAAATCCTTTCTGCATAATAAACTTTTTTCTGGCTTTGTTAAATAAAACAGACTACGCTGTGAGTTTGGGATAAATGTAGCTTTTGTTTTTACTTACAAAATTCTGACTTCTGTCTAGAGTAGAACATTCACTAAGAAACAACTGTATTTCACAGGCAGTAGCGGTCGAGAGCGTGAGTGTATTGGTGCACTGCTCAGATGGCTGGGATAGGACTTCCCAAGTTTGTTCTCTGGGAGCTCTCTTACTGGATTCCTATTACAGAACTATCAAAGGATTCATGGTAAGCAAAGTGTTGCGTTGTTGAGTTGTTCCGTGGTAAATAAAGGATGTAAAATGTTTGTGTGTGAAAGGGAGCAGTGTAAACATACTGAACTTTTTTTTTTGCAGTTACAAATGTAAGATTTGCAGTATACTGATAAATCTTTCTTTTTAGAAATACTTTGCTGCTAGGGAGAACCTTTTATTTAAAATCTAAAAAACTGAAATAAAACTAGTGGATTGCTTTAGGTACCCTGCAGCAATGTTGCAATGATTGCCTTTTGCATCCAAAAAAGCCACTTATCTATGATATATAAGGATTCCAAAGTGCTTATGTGATAAAGTTGTGCTGAATTACAGCAGTTCTGTGCTTTTATCACTTGCCACTAAATCAACGTTATTAGAATCTAAAAATGACAACTCCCCAGTGACAGAAATGTAAAGATATTAATGAAGTCTAAATTTCTTCATCTCTCTGGAGAGTGGAAGAAGAATTTCAGTAGTAGTATTCCGAGTCTTAGGGTAGGAAAATCAGCAGTGTTCTGCTGTGGCAATACAAGGTGTTATGGGAACTCCTGAAAGATAGTACGTAAAACTAGTTCCATATATTGGTTAGAACTAACTGCCAGAAATATGGCAAGCAACAAAAGTGAAGTTGAGGAGGAATTAAAGAAGACTATTTTCTTATGAGTAGTGTCAATGTATGTAATCTTTTTGTTTTGTAGTCCTCACTGTCAATTAGATTTCTGGGAAAATTCCTGCAATGGGCAAGCAGTCCTGTTCCTTTTGGTGCCTGATACAGTGACTGAAGTGATAAAACAAGCTAATGTTGATATTAACAAACTTACTGCTATGAAATGTTACATTGTGTGGTTTTATCTAAACTGTGTTAGCAGGAAT